ATAAAAACAATTTCTTCTACACAAATGATATGCGTAGAGCCATAACTGTTTTAGTTATACAGTAGTGCTTCTGCTGTGAGTTATGTGATTTAAAGAAAGTTGTTTTTTTCCCAACTTCCCAATTTCCTAAAAATTTTAGCCAACAACAAATATGTGTAACTATTAGTTGCAAATTATATACTTGTTCTTCCAAACAACTATGTTTTCTTTACACCAATTGATTTCTCTCATTATGTTGTGTATAAAAGTTGGTAAGATCATCGAAAAATAATCATTTTACGAGTTTTTTTTTTATATATAGTTCATGTAAGAATTATATCAATATCAAGTATAAAATATCACGTATGTACACTATTCACAATCACATTTTGACTATCCTATCTTTATAACTTTTTGTACAAAATATTGCAAGGAATCGACGGAAGGTAGTTCTATTTAAAAAAAAACTAAGTTGACCTCTAAATATCTTTAAAAAATACCACCCAAAGGCAATTCTAGGTCACGATATTATATCCTCCTCGAAACTCTACAACTTTTATTTATGGAACATTTTTCCCCAAAGTGTTTATTTTTAAGATGATTAAGATATTTTTAAGATGTAAACTTTAAAATAGGACATCTTATGTATATATAATTCTTGAAATTTCATTAGTTTATAATCAAAGGTGGCAAATTTTTTAACGCAGTTAAATTATATGTATATACATATACTAGACAACACAAACGAGCGCTGCGCGTGCGCCATTGTTTGTGATTTCATTAAATAATTTTATTTAATTTTATTTTGAACAACTGTTAAACTGTTAACCGTCACGATGACAGCTATTCAATGCTACAAATACAACGCGAATTAAGACTTCAAGACAGCTAATTGGCACCGCAGAAAAGTGACAACAATAAACTTCGACATATGCGAATATCGACTTTACATGCCTTTTTTAGAAATGGAATTTACATTAAATCATACATCGTTGTATCCGTTTTAAACAACCTTTCAACTTTTATTATATCAAAATATCCACATTAATTATTATAAAAAATTTTTATATTTCTCCGTTCATTAGCATAAATAACTTTTATAAGCACAACCCCCCATTATGATCACAATAGAGTTCCAATTGAACTATTTAATTTGATATATATGTATTATGATCTATCATATTTAGTTTAAAAGATAAAAGGAAGTGGCTATTATTGGTGGGACACCCTGTATATATTATGTACATATATATACACATATATAATTATATATTAATTAATCAAATTAATAATCAATAAGATCAAGATCATTTTCTTGAAAAAAGATTGCGTAATAAATTTAATAAGTACAACTCATGTATTATATAACTGGAGATACTATAAATACGGAAACCGATCGATTAATATTTGCAATACAGATTTCAACGCATAAAGAAGAAATAAACAGGCAAATAGGAAAATTGTTAGAAGAAGGCATAATAAAACATTCACAGTTGCTCTACACATCTCTATATGAATCATATACAAAAAGAAGATTCAAAAGGAAACAAATACTGAAAAATATTATCGATATTAGATCAATTAGAAGACGTACATTATTTTCCAGTATGCAATTTAACGTTTGGATTTCATCAGATAATAGTCAGACAATAGTCATAAAACAACTTTTACTACTTCTTTTAGACATTACAAACTTGACCAAATGCCTTTTTTATTAAAAAAAAAGGTTCTGCTACTTTTCAGCCTTTAAAAGCATATCCAGTAAATCTAATGGACGTAGATCTTAGTGTTACAATATTAACAAGATTACAGGACAAAGAATTATTCGTTTGCATGGCATTTAATATTGTCATTTATATTTAACTTTTTAAAGAAACATAACGAAAATATAATCAACAACTAAAAGGCAATAAGAGCTAATTAAATTCTATCAATTAGTAATTTATTTGTGAAAGGATGTATAACATATTAAATATCAGACAGAAATAAATTCGTTCGAACGTTTCGGTTGTCTTTTCCAACTTTCTTCAGCGTATACAATTAAAATTAGAGGTTAATAAAATTTAACAATAAATTACTTATAAATGTCATTATACTAAAACTATACATAGTCAAGATATTTTATTTTAATTAAGCGAAAACAACGTCAGTCTTACAGTTTACAGTCTTAACAAATTGAATAAATACATAAAAGTACACAAAGATTCTATTCCTAAGTGTTCAAATACCAATGTGATATATAAAATAGATTGTAAAGAGTGTAATGTGCCGTATGTTGGTCAGACTAGTAGGAAATTATCTACTAGAATATCTGAACATCGATCTAATATACACAGGAATGTAAAAAAATCTGTAATCACTGACCATAAATTAAAATATAATCATGAATTGTGTTGGGACGATGTAAAAATACTTGATAAAGAATCACATTATAACAAAAGATTGATTTCAGAAATGATATTTATGAAAAGGCAAAATAACAGTCTCAATTTAAAAACAGATATTGATGGCTTGCCAATAATTTATGACGATATTATACATAGACTACCTAAGATTTGAAAGTTAAAAACATAAACAACGAACTATTTTTCTCACTTTGCGGTTGTCTTTTTGAGAGTTTAGAACCATTCGTTATAGCAAGCTTGAGCAATCAACATCTGAAAGCCTTCACGTCAAAGATTTCATCTCACTTGATTTAACTGTAAATCTATTTTTTATTTTTATTTATTTGCATTGTTAATTTTCGTACATAATGATTTTATAGACATATTAACAATGACAGTTATCGAGATTCGCAACCGACTTCCTAACAGAACAATTAGTGAGAGATCCGTTGCGCGACAATCACATATAATGACGTTTTGAAGAATAGTTTATATATAAATAATGCTCATGCTTTACAAATGCGTTGTTTTCGCTTAATTAAAATAAAATATTTTGACTCTGTATAGTTTTAGTATAATGACATTTATAAGTAATTTATTGTTAAATTTTATTAACCTCTAATTTTAATTGTATACGCTGAAGAAAGTTGGAAAAGACAACCGAAACGTTCGAACGAATTTATTTCTGTCTGATATTTAATATGTTATACATCCTTTCACAAATAAATTACTAATTGATACAATTTAATTAGCTCTTATTGCCTTTTAGTTGTTGATTAATTTATTAAAGAGCTGTTACAAATTATATAACGAAAATATAATACATTAATAGAGCAACTTCATAAAACTAATCTAAAATTACAGGCAAATGTGTTTTTAAAAATCAAAATAACATATATTTAAGACACATAATCGGAGATAAAGTAAAAAATTAAAAAGAATTTTAAAAAAAGCAATATAACAATTTCCATAACATTCAAAACACTGAAAAATATTAAACACTTTTTACGACTCGCCGGATATTATTGCAGAAAGAAGCATTAGCTATATTATATTGTGTTAAGAATTTCTGACAATATTTATATAGAAAAAAGTTCTCTTTCTCTAGTCACAGGTTATAAATCCTTAATTTAAAAATGTGATTTAAAACCGCACAAGACACAAATATGCGAATACTTCGTTAAAAATTAAAATTAATATGATAAATATTATAAAGTATAAAATTATATACAAAGCTGGAAAAATAATATAAATACAGATTTGTTATCAAGAAATCCTGCAAAAATTAAAGTAATAAAATGCAAAATTAAAAACAAGAAATTTTTGAACCCAGACAATCCAAAATTGTCATTGAACATTGAAGAAATTCCTAAAACTTCTTAAGTATTTCTTCGATACTTATTGTCAGTTCAATTTTTATTTTTTAAATGAAGCAAACTCCTGAACCTAAGACTTCTTATAAGAGTAAAACTATCAAATATATATAATCATAAAATATAAAACCATTATCATGTGGCTCTGCTCATGAAACAGCGGAATCATTAAAATCATAACGACTGATGTCGTACGGTTGTACGACTGAAGATAAACTTAGAAACTCTATTATCAAAATGATAAGGTCAAACGCGAAAATAAAACAACATTAAATACGTCCATACTATGATTTTAGCAAAGGATCTTCCATTATTTTTTTTAAACAGATGCCAAATATACTGAAATCTGAAATGTATATTATTAATCGACCTATCTCTCAACAGGTAGAACCACACTATATGAAAAGAAGATTGTCAAGAAATGAAGTGTTGAATATGTGTGAATTTTGAGATCAAAGGCATACCCCAGAGGATATGAATCAAACAAGGCATGAATTTTTTTGCATTAATTGATGTGCTGAATAGTTTAAAAGATGGAACAAAGAAAGGTCCAAAACGTTCAAATTAAATAAAAAAAATTTTACATTTTGTGTTACCTAATTTCTATGCATAATTCTTATTAGTCAGTTTTCTACTTATATGTTAAAATCTGTTCATTTTTATTATAAAATTAAAATTAATAATTATTTTAAAAATTTTATTTAAAAAATAGAAAAAAGTATAAAAACAGAAAAATTAAATTAAAAAATTTTAAAAACAAAAAATTTCTAAAAAAATTGTTTTGCAACATATAAAATTACTTATAGTGTCATATCGAATAATACAAATATGTGACTATATTTAACCTGAAGCGCGATTTATGGATGCATATCTGTCTAAAGAACGGAATTGATAAAATTACATTGATATAAGCATTTATCTTATAGACTCTTCCTTTATTTCTGAAAGTGGCAAACAAAAAAGTAGCGCAAGAGCCAAATATGCTTATCATTATGTATTAAGACTCTACTGTATATATTATACGTTATACATATACACATATGTACATACATTTTTTATAATTTATTATTGAATATATATAATAAATGCAAGGGTATATTTCTGAAGCGAAATATCTATTCGTACCGGATGTGTACATACTGCATGTACCACGTAAAAATTATTTATTTTGTTTAAAGTAAAATTATATAAATGATGAGATAGCTTCTTGCCAACTATATACGATAATATGCATAAAAAAATGATAAATATAAAATTGACTTACCAATATTTGGATGTTGCAGCTTTCTACATATTCGCGCCTCACGCTCAAGTTTTTGAAAATCTGCACAGTAAAGAAACATTTGTTTAATATATATAAAAAGTGTATTAATAATTTAAAGGCAACCATATTTTTATTAGTTGTATCCAAATCTGTAAATAACACTTAATTTGAAGAAATCTATCTATGTTCACTAAGTGACATTTGACGAACGTGTTTTAAGTCTTTCGGGTATTAAACCTGTTGATGACATCATAAAACTGCCACTAATTTTAGAATATCCCATAGAAATACAAAATTTACTAGGACTTGTCATCTTTGTTCCCAAGTATACTCAACTTGGCGAATAATGAGCTCCTATCTATCAAGAAAGAAACATTGATTTCAAATGATTCAGCTCAATAAGCATTTGATAAATTAAAGAAAGATATTCTTTTTAAATATTTTAGTCTTTTTCTAGAAAAATATTCCAACAATTCTCATCTAAGACGCATTCATCAGTGGGTGCAGTTTTGTTACAAATCATCAAAAATAAAGCAAAAATCATTAAGTATACAAGTCTATGTTAAGCATCCAATATCATTACTTATAAACAGAAAAAAAATAAAAAAACTTAAGAACGTAAAAATTTGAATGTACTTTAATGGAAATCGCTTCAAATTCACAACTAATTTACGATTAATTACTTATATCATTTCTATTTTATATGATTATAATATCTAAATACCAATACTAAATGAATTATTAATAAATTCTGTTGAACAATCTTTTATTTTTCATGCATTTAGCGAAATTTATCCATTACTGAAATTTACCGCATAAATAAAATTTTATAAAATTTGCTTCATCGTCGGAACCGTGTCTATGCTCATCTTGAAATTTTACTGGGATTAATGTTTCATCTAATAATACTATTTGCTATGAAAAAAAGTTTAAAATTCGAGGTCCCAAAAATAAGCGAAATTTGCTATCACTCTTTTTATTACATTTTTAATAAAATCACATAACACAAAAAGGATCAATTAATAGAGATTTCAATATGTAATTCTGTATTATTTCAAAATGATTTAATTTCCATAAAATATTTCCATCAGAATATATATATATATGTTTCATTGTCGAAATAAATTAAACAGCTATGTTCATGGATATCTCTCACTTTACTTTTCAGGATTTTATTTTATTCTTTGTCATATTTAAAAATTTTTACAATTTTGTCTTTTAAAAGCAAAAATAAATTAAAAAATAGTGATGTGATTATAACAGCTATAAAAAATAATTTAACGAATTTTTAAATAAAACACAATTAAAGTATAATATTAATTATAAAAGTTGTAGACTTATATATATAAAAACTATATTTTTAAGTTTATATAAGAACTTTTAAAATTAACAATATAAATATGATGTTTTCTAAATCGGCCAACAGAGCCAAAGCGCGAAAAATTACGAATAATTAATTATTCGGAACTGTATCTCTTGATACGAGATTACAAAGTTCCATATATAAATTAATCTTGAAACTTACATATGGAGAAATAGGCGCGAAAAATATAGGTCCGAAAAGTCGCTGAAGCGGGAATCGAACCCGCGTCTTTCACTTTCCGGGCGACTGCTCTTACCAACTAAGCTATTCAGACCCTTTCGATCCTATATTTTTCATTTGCCTTTTTAGTAGATGTTAGTAAATAACGCCGTGATTAGGCCAAAGGCGTGAATAAACTCAGAAATAAATATTTTTATCGGCTCTCAATATAAACAATATAAATATGATGTTTTCTAAATCTGCCAACAGAGCCAAAGCGCGAAAAATTACGAATAATTAATTATTCGGAACTGTATCTCTTGGTACGAGATTACAAAGTTCCATATATAAATTAATCTCGAAACTTACATATGGAAAACTTGCTATTCCTCCATATGTAAGTTTCGAGATTAATTTATATATGGAACTTTGTAATCTCGTACCAAGAGATACAGTTCCGAATAATTAATTTTTCGTAATTTTTCGCGCTTTGGCTGTGTTGGCCGATTTAGAAAACATCATATTTATATTGTTTATATTGAGAGCCGATAAAAATATTTATTTCTGAGTTTTAAAATTAACATTATTCTGTTTAAAATTAACACTATTTTAAGAAAAAATTGTATGTAGCTATGCAAGTTGCAAATTATAAATGTTCTTTTCAAATAGTTGTTTTCTTTATTTAAAAATTATAATATAATTTTTTATATATTTTAAATAACAAATTATTTGTTACTCTTCAGTCATATATTTATTTCCTAAAGTTAGAAAAGAATTTGATTTGAGTAACTATGGCTGTAAAAACATTTAATCGAAATATTGACCACGAATTTAAGATTACTATAACTGTTTTTTTCTTTTTTTTATTATAGCGATCAATTATAATTATTTTTATATAGGCAAAGCAAAAAAATTAAAAAAACGCCAAATACAACGAGCGGGAAATATGAGAAATGCCAAACAGAAACAGAATTGAATTTTTCATTTGCTAAAGAATTTCGTGTCCGTCATTTATAAGTCAAACAAAAATAATAATTATTTATTAAGAGGATTAAGAAAAAATTTTTCGCATATTTATGCACGGACATATACGCCTCCATTCTTACACATAAATACACAGACATACTGTCTATTATTTCTTCTCTTTCTAGTCGACATAAAAAGTCAATAGAAATGATTAACATCAATACGCCCAACACTTCACGATTCTGCAACAATAGTCATTTAATAGGTTTATATCGTTCGATTGTGGACAAGCATACACAGCACGACTATTGAATCTTCTGATTTTGCTATTTCATTGCGGAATTTTTTTCATGTGGTCGATAAAGCATTTCTAAATAATTGCGAACAAATTTATTAATCGTATTACATACCAAATTGTTTAAATGATTTGAACACATTTCAAAGTAAAATATTAATTTATATTAATGTAAATGTATTAATCTCGTATTACATATCGAATTATTTAAATAATTTTAACGCAACGTATAATATTAATTGTACGCAACAAATCACTGTATAGTATTGTTTAATATAGTATTGTAATTTTAATAGCCAGCAGTGTATATGTAGAATTATTACAATATGATCTTATTTTCGTTTCTAAATTATTTCAGCGCGTGTGATAAGTTCTCGAAATTATATTTTCTTTACACAAAAATATAATTTTAAAGTTATTATTTTTGTAAATAAATTAAATTTTTGCAAATAAATTTAATATACAATAACTTGACAAAATACGTATATAAGAAAAAATACTATACACATATAAATTGCTAAAGAAAAGATTTTGGTTTAATGTATTTATTAAATAGTCGATCAATTTAGAAAAAAATTATTAGCTATATTAGAAAATCATTTTTACGCGAGAAAATTTTCATTCTTATAATTTCCTTGTTAAAAACATAAGTACATACATCACCTTATGTCTTCTTTTATAATAATTTAACAGCACAAAGATAAGATAGTCTTATCACGTAAATAATTGCTTTCAGGAAGTAATCGTTAACGTAACGAGATATATAAAGTAGCCGAGAAATTCTAGTAATGTTTCAAGGTTGAACGGAATAAAACGTTGTACATAGCAGCGATATAGGCACAAATTGCACAATTCAATATGCAGATCAATCAGAACACTAACGAAATACGTTATCGCTGTCGAAATTTCACTTTCGTCCTATCAATTTTTTCTTTTAGATTTCTCGCAGCAGAAGTAATTTCAATTATATATATATATATATATATATATATATATATATATTGTATACAAATAATATTCTACACATATAAATTTTTTTAAATTAAAATTATTTTAAACCAAAATATTTCTTATAGATTGCTGGGTGCTTAAAACGATATCGCAAACCAAATTTTACTAGCACATCAAATTTTCAAAATCATTGAAATATAATTAATGTGCAAAAATTGTTTTTTTGTACGATATTTAAGATTTTTTGAAAAAAATAATTGACGTTATCTGAAAAGTCTAGTCAAATATCATGTATGTGTTTTTCATCCTCTATAAAATCTTTTTTTTATTTCAATATCTTACTTTTCAGCCATGGTATAAGAGATTAAAGCTAACTACTTCTCATATGAAGATGCTCCTGAGAAAAAGAGGTTTTTTGGGAATAAATTATTTTTTCCAAAATTGATTTTACTGTTATTTGTCCCTTTAGATCATACAACTTTTATTGAACATTTTTTTGAAAATACATTTGTTTTGAAAAATTCAAGATAAGCAATTAAAATCAGACACCTTATATATAAATTTACATTTAGTGGAATCTATCACGATACGTTACACTGTGTATGTGTATCGATAGCTCTAAACTACAAATTATGAGTATATAAAATTATGACTTCATCATCGTAGGCGGAACATTTGTTCTCTCAGCTCAAAACTCTGTATTTAAATCCTTCCTAACATGACTAAAAAGTAAGATATCAAAATAAAAAGAAATTAATTTTGTAAGATAAACAATATATTTATGACATCTGATCAGATTTTTTCCAGATAACGTTAATCGTTTTCACAAAAAAAAATTCAAATATCGGAAAAAAAACATTTTTTACATAATAAACCTTAATTATTTTGAAAATATGGCCTGCTGTTGAAAATTGGCTTGCAACATCGTTTTCAGCGTCTAAAAAGTTATAAGAAACACTTTGATTTAAAACACTGGTTTGAAATGACGAAAAGAAATATTTTTTGTAAATTAGTGTTTTCGTTCATGATGAGATGTGAAAGATCATCTCGATTTAATAAGCGAGGACAAATCCATTTTCTTTCGCGTAAGAAATTATTAATGACTTGGTGACTCCTCAAGTGGTGGTGGCAGCCCGTTAATCGATAAAATCATGTCTGGATAACAATAAATTCTTACAAATATCTTGATTCACTTGATATTACTCGCAATTATAATGCGATCTATAAAAATATATATGTATAAAAAAATACGAGAGAAAAGTTGGTTATAGGTATATATACACACAAGTACGCGTATGTACGCACGTGTGTATGTATTCGTGCTAT